ACTGACATCCACAGAACAGGCCATCCTGTCAGCAGACTGTCGAGGGCCTCATCAGTGGATGTCCTCTAATGAGAATTCACATGGGATAGTGCCCATATGGAGAGGTCCATCTGCAAACCTTTTTCCTTGTCACCAATATGCTAATCAAACCATTAATGACCCATAAATTGGTATATATCTCTACTTTTGGCCATCTGTCCCTCCAGACAATGTGCTCAGTGTTTGGTCCTGAGAACTCCTTTTGTCACATTCGTGATTTGGGCTGCAAGGCTTCAGCAATCCACATCTCCCTGGTGCCTCCAAACTGCAAGGGATTATCTGCAAACCAGGCCCAAATGTTTCCTTCCTCTGTCAACGGTCAATCCTAAGAGGCCACAGATGGGGACTGGGGACAAATTAAAATGGCAGCAAGAGTAGATGCTATGGGAGTCACAGCCACTTGCTCTTGAAACTTCCTTGTGCCTTAAGGACCTGCTCAAACCAAACCTGGTACGTGCTATTTTATTACTTACACCCAATAGATTTCTGTCATGCATGCCTAACCTTATGGCTCGGAAGATTGATTGAGTCTCCTAAGTAATAAGTTAACCCAAAACTTCACAACGTGTATTTATCATCTCACATTCTTTCTGAGGGTCGGGAATCTGGGAACAGCTCCGCTGGGAGAATCTGGCTAAGGGTCTCTCAAGAGGCTGCAGTCCAGTTGTCAGCCAGCACTGTAGTCACCTTGAGGCTTAAGTAGACATGCTGTAGCCCAATGGTTCTCAAATGGGGGTGATTTTGCACCCCAGAAAATTGGCCAGGTCTGTAGACATTTTCGGTTGTCAAAACTATGGGGGGTGATGCTACTAACATCTGGTAGGTGGAGGCCAGGGACGCTACTAAACACCCTGCAATGCACAGGACAGCCCCACAGCAAAGAATTGCCTGTCCTTCAAATGTCAGTAGTGCCAAGACTGAGAAACCCTGCTCTCTCTTGAACCCCCTTTTGCACTGGTCCCTCTACGAAACCTGCAGCTTAGTGGGTAACTCAAAGCATTGCTCTGAACAATAGACTCTAAAAGGGTGTGTGTTGCCTGAAAAATGAAAAGACCCACAGAATACTATAGCTCTTTCTTCATGGTAGGTGGTACAAAGTACAATTTATCTTTCACTTTGGAGAGGAAATGCCAATATTCTCCAGACCACTGGACCCCTAGAACCTTCACCAAAGCAACAGGCCTTGATTTTTCTTGGGGATCATCTCCCACCCTCTGGCATACATTTGTCTTATTAAGGCATTTATGATATTTGCTCCTTGTTGCTCACCATGTCAATTACACATCAGCAGAATGTTCCGCAGGATACCAAGATGGTCCAGGCCCCTGCAGACTAGTTCTTGTCAGAGCAGGAGAGGCAATACAGGCCTGAGGTAAGGTAGGGAGGTATTTTGCCAATCCTCCAGCTGGTTGAGAGCAAGCTGCTTCTGGTGATCTTTGCTAATTTGGTATTGGGGGGAAAAGCATCCACCAGATCTATAGCTGCATACTAAGTGCCAAGAGCTCTGTTGTGTCATCCAATAAAAGAGACTAAATCTGGTCTAGTAATTGGTTAATGTACGAACTCACAGTCCTTCTCCAATAACCATCTTCCTTCTGTACGTGCCAGACAGAGGAGTTAAATGAGGACACAGCAGAACAACTTCTGTACTGTTCAAGTGTTAGATAGAAGTACTAATCTCTGCAATTTCCCCAGGGATAAGGTTTTGCTTTCAGTTCACTCTTCCATAGGAAGGGGAAGTCCCAAGAAGCTTTCACTTGGCCCTGCCTACCATAACAATACTCAACATATAGACTCCATATGGAAGTGGGCTCTTTTTGTTTCTGAGATGACAACTCCGTCCAAGAATGGGAAAATAACCAATGGGTAAAGAGACCCATTGGAATCCACCAAAGCAGCCACAGGTCCAAATTTCATTTACTACTTGATTACCATAAGTGATACCCTCCTCCAATGGGCCAGAGGCATTTTGGGTCTCTAGAGGTCAGCATAGACTCAGAACCAAGGTCCGCAAATCTACCAAAAGCCTGGATATTCCCCAGTGCAAAGTTACCCTAGTGAATGGTTGCATGTCTTTTGGGGAAGACTTAAAGGAAGGTTTATGCTAGATACTTTTACCAATGTTACAGAGTCCTTCCTTAATCTTCCCAAGTCTTTCTTTCATCTAAACTTTAGAGTTCTCAAGCCTTAGCATGCATCAGAATCAGCTGAAGTGAAGATTGCTGGGACCCGCCTCCTGATTGCTCTTGTGTCAGTGGGTTTGGGCAGGGACTGAAAATGTGCATTTCTACTAAAGTCCCAGGTGATGCTGTCACTGCAACATTTTGGCCATGGTTTGAAAATCAGCGATCTAAGGATTTCTGTGTTTTAGAACTGACTCAGGTCTGGAACGTAGATGAGAGGCAATGACTCTCCATTGAACAACTCAGATTTCTATTGACTAGACCTAGAGATTTCCTGATTACATAAATCAGATAATTCTTAGGAGACTGTCCATCTAGTTTGGTTCTAGGGCCACCACAAACAGTGAGCCAATAGCAAAGGTCTCTGTGTGCTGTGATGTTCCACTTGCTGCTCCAGACTCTCTGACCATTATGGCAACTGTGCCTACCTTGCTCTTGGATGATAAGAGCTGCCACCTGGTTCTGCCCCTCCAGGAACCCATCATCCATTAACATAAAGAAGTCTATGTTAATGAAGAGGTCTCCTCTCAAAGTGGGGTCTCTTAACCCTCCACAAGACAGTTGGCTTGAATCATCTGCCAACTCTGGAGAAACATGACCACAATAATACCAATCAAGAAAGACCTGTTCTGTCCTTCTTACCACTTTATCTCCCTGCATCCTGGAGGGGCCAGAAGAAACTGTGGGGTGCTTGAGTTTTATCCAGGCAACAAAAAAGAAATACCTCAAGGGATAGATTTTAAAAAGTACTGGGGGCCAGGTGCGGTGGCTAACGCCTGTAATCCTAACACTTTGGGAGGCTGAGGTGGGTGGATCATATGAGGTCAGGAATTCCAGACCATCCTGGCCAACAGGGCAAAACCCTGTCTCTACTAAAAATACAAAAATGAGCCAGGTGTGGTGGCATGTGCCTGTAGTCCCAGCTACTCAGGAGGCTGAGGCAAGAGAATCATTTGAACCCAGGGGGTGGAGGTTGCAGTGAGCCAAGATGGCACCACTGCATTCCAGCCTGGGTGACAGTGAGACTCTGTCTCAAAAAATAATAATAATATAAAATAGAAAAGATATTGGGAAGTACAAATAAGGTTGCTTTATAATTGAACCTTTTATCTGCTTATTCAATGTACCAGTAATAATGGCAAATGGTGTGAAAACATATGGAGATGGTTATATCTCTATAGAGAAGGCAGACTACAAAACAGCATGTTCTCAGACAAGGCCACAGTTTTCCAGATCCCCAAGGGTCCGTGAGAAAGGCAGCTCTCCTACCACGAGCCGTGAGGATTCTGCCATGGCCCAAGCAGCACACTCTTGGGCTGTTATTCCTGCCTGGCCCTCTCTCACACCAGATTACTCTGAAAATTCTGCAAATGTGCCTACCCACTCACTAGGAGCTAAACTATTCCAAGGCATTTCTGAGTGTTAAATAAGAGACAGAGTGAAGTGAAAGGCAATTTCATGGAGCAACCCCCCGGGAGGTTCAGACTTTAGATTGCCTGAGTTTCAATCCTGAATGTCCCTATTTGTTGGAGAATCTATCAATTCCTCTCTTTAGTGAATAATACAATGAGCAATTCAAATGAAGCTTTTAAATATATACACAAATCTGTTTCTGGATTCTGCTCTACATGGCACCAGAAGGACAGCAAAAAGTCTACTGGGACCACAGCAATGTGAGCAAGAAGGGTAACAGGAGGTAAGATCGGAGAGGGAGGTTCTGTGTGTGTGGGTTGGGGGCATATGATATATAACCTTTAAATGCTCAATGAGACGGGAGCCACTGTAGGGCTTTGATCAGAGGGGTGACATGACTTGATGAGTGTTAACAGGATCGCTCAGGTGCTGTGTTGTTCTATGAAGAAGAGACAGTGGGGGCAAGAGTAGAAGCAGGAGAGTGTGGAAATAATCCAGAGGAGAGAGGACAGCTGCCTGCACCAGTGGAAACGAAAGTGATGAGAAGTGGTCAGAATCTGGGTATCTTCTGACGGTGGAACCAACAGGACTTCCTAATGGACCAGAGTGTGAACAAAAGAGTGAGGTCAAGAATGAGTGGGGTTTTGTCTGAGTAACTAGAAGGATGGAATGACTATTGCCTAACATGGGGAAGAGTGGGGAAGGAGCAGGTTTTAGGGAAGTGACCCAGTTTTATATTTAATTTGAGATATCTCTATGGTATTTGAGTAGAGTTGTCAAGTAGCTAGCATAAGACACAAGTCTTGTGTTTAAGAAAGACATTGAGAGCCGGGCACGGTGGCTCACGCCTGTAATTCCAGCACTTTGGGAGGCCGAGGCAGATGGATCACGAGGTCAAGAGATCGAGACCATACTGGTCAACATGGTGAAACCCCACCTCTACTAAAAATACAAAAAATTATTTTCAGACTCACTACTTTACCAAAACTGTACCAAACTTGAGAGGGTGGAAAGAGAAAAAATGAAGACATGGAGTTTATACATCATTTTTTCTAGAAGTTTTGATGCAAAAGGGAGAACACAAATGGGGCAGTAGTTGAAGGGGCACACGAAGTCCACTAAGGAATTCTTCTTTCCAGATGTGAGAAATGACAGCATGCTGTGCTGATTATAGTGACCCGGTAGAGAAAGGGAAGCACTGATGATGCAGGAGAGAAAGGAGAGAATCATTCAAGCGATGCGTGGGTGCCCACCAGGCAAACAACACTCTCAAACACTGCTGGGTACTGGCTCAAAAACTGTACACTGGCTCAAGATCTTTGAAGGGAAATTAGGCATTATATATCAAAACAATAGATGCACATATTCTTTGGAATAGCATTTTTATTTCTGATATTCTATTCTACAGATATACTAGCGCTGAAATGCAAAGACATATCTACATGTTATTTATGACAACATCACTTAATTATAAGATTGTAAAAACCAGGAAAAACATTTAAATGTATATTGATAGCAGTGGTTGAATCCATACTTGGAATACTACACAGCATTGAAGATGAGGTGATGTACATGTGCTGATATGGAAGCACCTCCAAAATGACTCAAGTAAAAAATATCAAGGTAGAGAAGAGTACATGGTATACTTCCGCCTGTGAAGATAAAAACAGAATAAGGTAATACATAAAGTTATATAGAAAACACAGATTTTTATATGTGCATAAAACATTTCTGAGAGATCTTAGACTCACTTTCCATTGAATATCTTTTTCTAATATTTCAATTTTGTAAGAAATTAATTTTTCATTAAAAAGAAAAATATAAAAAAGTATTTGCTAAAAAGAAAAAAGTAAATTTAATTCTGGTTGTGCATTATTTTATTAATGTAAATGTTCTTACATAATGTTTAATGGAGAAATGCCACTATCTTCTAGTGTTGTTTTGAAGGTAGTGAAAAATAAATCTTTTAAATAAATCCAATAAATCTTTTAAAATAAATTTTACTGAACCAGTAACCAGCAAGGTCTTTATTCAATAATTTGCAATTTTAGAATGTAAGTTCTCTCTGTATAACCAATGTAAAAGGTTTTGGGTTTCAAAATGTATTTCTGTTGGGCATACTACATGCATTCAATAGAAACTTGTTGGTTCAATGCAATCACTAATTAGATGAATGTCAACCTTATGCATTTGGGAAGTAGGATTTCAATATAAAACATTATTGGGGCTTCCTTTTTTAAAAGGTGAATTTGTGTGTATACATATATGTGTGCTTCATAAAGATTAGCATCTGTTTATTTTTAGCCTATTGGACAGAATATAACAATGCTATGGCTAAGCCGGAAAGCCATTTTGAGATAGTTTAGCAAACTATTTAATCATATTAACAAATAAGTTATCAAAGGAAAATAAGAAGACCAATTTCCAGAAGCAGAAATTATCCCTGAGGCTGGAGTTTAAACGTGTAGCTAGACTGAATTAAGAGGGTATTTTAAATATAAAGGTTTTAGAAATTAATAGTTCTTAAAGATAAGGAAATATACCCATTAGGTACCTCTAATGGGTAGAGATGGGAAAAGGGAAGGTGAAAATTAATCACTTTTTAGTGTCTGTCAGCTAGGAATCTTTAGTGCCTCATGAGCAACATGAATATTGACAACCATACTGATGATCTTGATGGATGAGAAGACCTTGAACTTCTTTCTGAAGCATCAAGTAAGACTACATGTTTTTCAATGTTTCTAGTATTAAGCCTACTAACTGTAATAAATTTTTTTGAAAACTAGCAGTATATGCTACATAACATTATCATATGTAACAATACTCTAATGTCTCACCATGAGAATATTTTAAGCATTAGGGCTTCTCAGCTATTTATTTAAGCACACATGTTTTTCCTTTTGCTGGATTACTGAATTATGTACTAGTTACAGAGTATTCATGCATGTGCTAAGTGCCACTTCTCTCCTCTTTTGCTACTGGGGTGCAAGTACTTATTCTATTTCATTATCAAAATTTTAAAATCTACCTAAAGCTAAGGAAGTAATTATTCGTAGGGATGGAATTGCTGGGGTGGCAGTATATTTTCAAAAATGTTAGGACTTGTTTTTAGTATTGGGTGTATTTGCTGATTTTTTTTGGTTTGCTGATAGACAATAATATATAGGCAATGCATAAAATCTTCACACGAAGGTGCAATTATTTGTACTAAAGATCCACACGTTGACAGGCATCCAAGACTAAAAAGGCTGAAACTTGGTTTGCTGACAAAAGCTTTATCCATTTCAATGCAAACAAAAATTGATTGATGGAGCATTTCCATATCTGTTTGGTAACCTATGCAAGATGCTGTAGACAAGTATTTTTCAAACTTTATCATGCATGCAAACCATCCTGGGATCTTGTTAAAATGCAGAGCTGAAGTCACAGATCTAGGGTAGGGCAGGATAATCTGCATTTCTAACATGGACATGCTGATGCTCCTGGTCCGCAGACCCCACTTGAATACCAGCGTATGGCTGCATGTTACGGGGAAACTTAAACTGTGCAACCCAGGAAGACAGCCGTCACCAGAACCTGACCACTCTGGCATGATGAACTCAGACTTTCCGGCCTCCAGAACTGTGAGAAAGTAAGTCTCTGTTGTTTAAGTACCCAGTCTATAGTATTTTGTTATGGCAGCCAGAGCCATCTAACATACCAGTTGATTCTAATAATACTCAGCCTAGGTTGACAACCATTGTTGTGAAGGGCACTGACATGGTATAATCATAACTCTGTTTTAGGACACGTACTTACTAGGGCAGCTAAGACCTAGGCCTTAAAAAGTCACAGGTAGTCAAGTGTAAGGCTGGCAGAGTATTAAGAGATTCAGAATAAGACAGCAGCCAGGGTTAGAGTAATAAGCGAAGTGGATTGTGTCACTGCGTAATAAATTTGCTAAGGGCTGCATTTAAAAAAAGTTTTAATTTTATTTAAAAAATTTAAAAGCATAATTTAAATTATATGATTAAAAGGCTGCACAGATATTAAGTATTCAATTTTGACCATTCTATACAGGTGAGTAATTACCACCCTAAAAAAGATATAGACCATTGCCATCAACCCAGAAAGTTCTGTAGTATCCTGTCCAGCCAATTCCCACCATTCTCAGACGCAATCCCTGCTTTGATTTCTATCACCACAGATGAGCATTGTTTCAGAACTTCAAATAAATGGAGTCACAGAGGAAGTGCTCAAATAATCTGAGTTCCAATAATGGTGGGCACTAGATGGCATGTGTCTTCTTATGTAACTTCAAATAAAACATACGACAGTGCCCAAGATGTACTCTAAATTTATTAACATGAACCAACCAAACTCTCAGCTCTAAATCACAATTTACAGGAAGTACAGAGGACAGAGTAACAAGCTATGATGGACAGCATAGGGAAGCAATCAGACAAGTACTGTGAATAAAAATTAGTAGATGAAAAGAAGAACAGTTTTAGATCTTAAAATATCTAAGCACCACACAAACCAGATATAATGCATGATCCTGACCTAAATCCTGATTTGGACAAACCAGCTTTGGGGAGACATTTGGGAGAAAATTAGATGCCATGAAATTTTATTAATAGGAAAAGAGAAATACTAAAAGGAAATAGACAATTTACAACATTATAATCTCATTTAGTTTTTTTTTGTTTTTTTGTTTTTTTTTTTTAAGGCATATGTATGTGGCGCAGTGACTCACGCCTATAATCCTAACACTTTGGGAGGCCAAGGTGGGTGGATCACCTGAGGTCAGGAGTTCGAGACCAGCCTGACCAACATGGTGAAACTCCCTCTCTACTAAAAATACAAAAATTAGCTGGGCATGGTGGTATGCACCTGTAGCCCCGGCTACTTGGGAGGCTGACACAGGAGAATTGCTTGAACCTGGGAGGCGGACGTTGCAGTAAGCCGAGATTGTATCACTGCACTCCAGCCTGGGTGACAGACCGAGACTCCATCTCAAAAAATAAATAAATAAATAAAAAGATCTAAAAATACATAAAAGGTCAACAGTTATAGTCACTGTACATTAGTTTTCTATTGCTGCCATAACAAATTTCCAAAAATTTGGTGGCTTCTAGCAATACGAATTTATGATCTTACAGTCCTATAGGTCAGAAGTTGAAACTGGGTCTCATGCAACTAAAATCAAGGTATTGGCAGGATTGCATTTTTTTCTGGAGGCCTGGGGAAAAGTCCACTTCCTTCCCTTCTCCAGCTTTTAGAGGCTGCTGGCATTCCTTGGCTTCCCCTCCTCCATTTTCAAAACTAGCAATGGCTGTCCAGTCTTTCTCATATTATATCACCCTGAACTTCTCTGCTGCCCTCTTCCACTTTTAAAGACCCTGGTGATTACACTGAGCCCATCCAATAGTCTAAGATAATCTCCTTATTTTAAAGTCAACTCTTTACCAACATTAATTCCACTGGCAACCCTAATTCCTCTTTGCCATGTAACCTAAACATACGTAGAGGTTCTAGGGGTTAGAATGTAAGCATCTTTGAGGGAATATTGTCCAGCCTACAAGGGTGGGAATAAAATGTTTTATGTTTTTGCTGGTTGTCTTTATTTTCTGACTTTCTATAAAGCACATACACTGCTTCTATAATAAAAAGCTAATCTTCATTTAAAAATAAATATGATGGAGGAGAAAATAATACAGTTAAGTGGTAATATTGTGGACATCATGAATACACACGTAGAGTAGGAATGAAAAAGAGAGACTTAATTATATGTGAAAATAGGTATTGGTGGCTTGGAAAATTGCCACTGAAAGAATCATACTTAAAAATGCTGTAGTTCAGATGGTATGTATGAACAGACAGATGATTTATTCTGAAAAATGTTACGTATCAAGCAGTGACTCTAGCTATGACAAGGACACTGTGATGAAAGATTCCTGTGGAAAGCATGCATAAGAATTTTCAGAAAATATTAATTCAAGTCCCAGCATTGTCATCACTTACCAGCTGTGTGACCTTATGCCAGTTACTTAACCGGTCTTTGCTTCGACAGCATTATCTATAGATGGAACTAACTCCACCTTCCTCAGGGGTCCTTGAGGCATTAAATGATTTAATACTGATAGAGGGCTTAGGACTGTGCCTGGCGCATGATCAACGCCTGTAAATGCTAGTCATTAACAGTTATTACTCTGGCAGGTGTCTGTAGCCACCTGTTTCAGATGGAAAACCACTCTGGAATTTTAGTTAAGCTGGTGCTTACATGCCATCACTCAGAGAATAATGAAAATCACCTGCTGATCATCCACAGCGTTCCTATACCCAAAGATACTAGCTTAATTCACTAGTATCAGTAACTAATTAAGAATTTCAAAAGTGAAACTACAGAAATTCTTCCTAAATGGCTAGGCTTCCAGGAAACACCCCTTCCGTGTTAGCATGGTGGCTAACTAATACTTTTGAAGAATCAACAGTTATTTAGCACAGATTGTTAACATGCCAAATGGTGCTTTCAGCTATGGGGTTCCAACACCTATATCCTGATGGAAATGAACGTCTAATAATTTGCTAGTTTGAGTGACACCTTGGGGACAAAACAAGCTTTCCAGAACTGTGAGAGACTGGAGACAGCTTCAGTAAATATTATTCTGTT